CAGCTTTAGCACAACCTAACTGGTACAGACTGCGGCACAGACTTTAGAAGGAGGGTAGGACCCCCATGGGAGGCAGCAGGAGATGGAAATTGAAACGGCCAGGTGGATCCCACTGAGATGAGCGGGATCTAAGGCATAAGCGTATATCTCCAGCCTACAGCACCAGAGCCCAAAAGGCACAAAAACAACACCCTCGTCTTCAGAGCAGCAGGCTTGCTCTCTACCTAAAACAGGTGGCTGGCGACTCAAAGAGCCGTTTAGAAGGCCAACATACGAATTTTTGTCTGCAGACACCTACCTTGGTTTCCGACAAAGGCAGGGCACACTGGTTGAGTAACACTTGAGGAGGAACCACGAGTGGAATATTTCCTGGAGGGAACTCAGAGAATCACTGACAGATCCTGGGACCTAATCCTTCCATATGGGGCAACATCCAGCTGGCTCAGGCTGACAAATACACAGATGGAGGCAGGGAGAGAGTCACCAATATCACCCCCCAGGGGGTCTTTTTCCCACCTCGTGGTGTCTAAGGCTGACTGATGATTGCAGAATGACTAGTTTAACAACTGAAGCACAGAGCTACAGATAGTAGATTCCTTCAAGTCTCCAGCAGACCGCCTAAGGTCACACAGCATGAAGAGCTGACATCTTCAGTGGGAGACCACGAAAATAAAAACAGCGATCTTTTCCCATACAAGTTCATACCAGAAAGTCAGGAAGTCAAGGCAGATCGATTAAAAAGAAGAATCAAAAAAGAGCAGTCTCACACATCAGGGAAGCCACAGAAACTCTGCCAAATACAGCGGATATTGGGAATCTTTAGAAAGAGAATGAAATGAAATAGATGCAAGTTAACTATCATATATTGCGGTCAAAACGAGGCCTGTAAGGAAGTTCAACGAGCTCATCGAGCTCAAAGAGAATTAGAAAAAAAAATTGCATCAAAGATAGGAGAAACTTACTACAAACTATGTCGCATGAAAAAGGACTTTCAAAGTATCAGTAAGAGACGAGAGGAAATGACAAATACATGTTCTGAATGGAAGAGCACAGTAGAAGGAATCAGAAGCACAGTAGATGAAGCTGAGGAGGAAAACAGCAAGCAAGACGATAAGGTAGAAAAAAGCTCTCAGAAAGAGCAAGGAAACGAAAAATGACTCCAAAAGAATGAAGAGGCATTTAGGGAAATGCAACACAACCTGAAAGGTAATAAAGTCCGTATAATAGGGATACCAGAAGAAGAAGAGAGCAAGGGATAGAGAACCTTTTGATAAGTAATGATGGAAATCTTCCTTAATTGGAGAAGAGAAAAAGTCACCCAAGTCCAAGAAGCGCAGAGGGTCCCATTCAAGAGGACCCAATGAGGCCCACGCCAAAACACATCATTATGAACTTGGCAAAAATCAAAGACAAACAGAATCCTAAAGGCAACAAGGGAGAAAGAGGTAGTAACATATAAGGGAGCCACAGTACAGACATCTGCTGCCCTCTCAACACAAAGACTGCACGCCAGAAGGTAACGGAAAGAAACGTTTCAAGTCAGTAGAAGCAAAGACTTGCAACCAAGACTGCGCTACCCAGCGAGGTTCTCAATTAAAATGGAAGGCGAAATGAGCAGTTTCACAGACACACCTACCGTGAACGATGATACCTCTACCCAACCACCATTGCACAATATGCTAAAGGGCCTGCTTTAAGGGGAAGAAAAAGAGTCTATGAATACCCAGTTCTTTTCACAGTCACCAGACTTGATATAACCCATTTTTTTAATATTTATTCATCTGATTGTGACACAGATGTGTCACTTTATTTCTTGTAAAACCTAAACCTGTTTTTGTTTGTTTTTGCCCATTTTCATTGTTCTTCAGAAACTTTGTAGGACATTTTGGTACTTCATATCCATTTCTTAATTAAATTTTGTAGAATTTTTCCCCTGAAGAGAAAAAAATAAAACAATGAACCCTTATTTAGATGTGTTGCAAATGCTTTCTTCTTCTCTTCCTTGTCCTTTAACTTTTTTACACATATTTCACTATATAGTCTCAAATGCCTAATATACTTGTAGTGTTACCATTTCACTTTATAGCTTCTGAGTTTAAATACTTCTCTTCATGGTAAGAAAAGTGTTATTTTTCATTTTATCCTAACTCTTCTCATTTTACATATTGACTTTTGACTAAACTGAATAATGTGTATAACATGTAAATTAGGGCTGTCTATTTGTTTCATTTCAAGTAATAGTGGTCATGCCCTATAATTGCTGAATAGGTTTTATTTTCCCAAATGATCTGAAGTATCTGTTTTGTCACACATTGCATTTTTAGACAGATAGGTACCTTTGTTTCCAGAATGTTCCTTTTATTTGATTCATCTACCTGATTTTTTCTCTGCTAGTGTCAGGTGGTTTTCCTGTGCTGAGACTTTAAAATGGATTTAAATTTTTCAATATTTAACAATGCAATTTGACACTTAAAAATTATAAAATAAAATCAATCTGCATTTTAAAGAAAATAATAAGAAACCCATGCCTTTTGCAACAACACGTATGGACGAGGACAATATCAATGTAAAGTGAAATAAGCCAGCGGGTGAAAGACAAATACCATCTGATCGGACCTGTAAGTGAAACATATTCAAAAAATAACCAAACCAACAAACTAGGCCACAGGCGTGACAACATGGTTCTGACTGAAAATAACAAGAGAGGATGGAGAATGAGGACAATGCTGGACACAAGGAAGGGACTACCCGAAGAACATGTATGATAGCACCATGGAGATGCACAACAGAGCAGGAATTGACTGTTGGGAGAATTCTGACGACAGTGATAGAAAAACGAGAAGAAATATAAAACATTAAAAATAATAATAAAAAATTAAACTAATTTTGTTACCTGAAATCAAACACACAGAAAACAATGTCAAAGCTCTCATTTATAATTATTATATGGATGGGAAGGCCTATCAATATGGACAAACACATTCATATATATATGGGGTTCTTACACATAATATGTCTTTTCAGCAGAATACTTTTCTAGTATGTTGATTATACTGCACAATAGCCAAGATGTGAACAAATATTCTAAGAGATAAAAGGTAAAAGACATTGTTCTCAAATTGCATATACCAATTTTCATGCTATTGATACCGGCAGTTATTTGCTTTGTTTAAAAAATATGTACAGTCCACCCTTAGGAACTCAGTCAATGTTTGCAAGGAACAGCAACATGTAACATTCACACACATTAACTATTGAACTTAAGCTACGCACGTCATGGAGGACTCAGAATGTTATCCGCACTGAATTTCCATTTTCTCTAACTTCAGAAGGAGATAGGCACGCTTACGTTCATTGCAGTGTTACTTACAAAACGAAGATCTTGGAAACACCTCAAGAGCACATGAACAAAAGGGAGGAAAAACAACCTGTGGTGCATTTATACCATGAAATACTACTCGGCAGTAAAGAAAAATTCAGAACACTTCCACCCTTTCCCGAGCCATGGATACACCTGGAGAATACGATGTTAAGCAAAAGAACGCAGTGACCAGAGGCCAATACCATATGCTCTCACTCATATGGGAAACCTAATGAACAACATAAACTGATTAATTAAAGAAAAACAAAGGAACGGACACATGGACAGATTGACAACTGCCAGAGGGCAGAGGGAGAGAGAGAAAGGAGTCAGGGAAGGGGAAGGGTGTAGCAAGGGACCCTGTGTGCCGGACCCAGGGACGCAGACAACACTGTGGTGACGGACCCAGGGAGAGGGGTGGAGGATGGGGAAAGGTGAGCAAATGCGGGAAAGGGGGACAAGTGTAATTGCTTAAAAATATTACTATACATTTAAATGAGTGAATGGATGAATGTATGAAATAAAAATCTGTCCCTTTAAATCAGAGCACACAAAAAATGTAAAAGCTCCAAATTTAATTATCATATACACTGGAAGGCATATGTGTGGATATACAAACATATATCAGTATCTGTACACACACACACACATACATATGTATCTGGGGTTCTTCTCTATAAAATTTCTAGGGGAAAAACACTATTCTTAAATGTTGATTACGCCATACAATAGCCAAAAAGTGAACAAAGATTATGAAAGCTGTGGAGAAAAAGAAACACGAGAACAATGTTGGTGGGAATGCAGACTGTTGTAGCCATTGTGGAAAGCAGTGTGGAATTTCCTGAAAAAGCTGAAAATGGAACTGCCTTTTGATCCAGTGATTCCACTGCTGGGACTATACCCTAAAAATTCCAAACCACCAATTCCAAAGGACCCTATGCACCCCAATGTTCATCGCGGCACAATTGACAGTAGCCAAGTGCTGGAAGCAACCTAAATGCCCATCAGTAGAAGGTTGGATCAAAAAACTGTGGTATATTTAGACAATGGAATACTACGCAGCAGAAAGAAAAAAAGAACGACTACACTTCACGACAGCATGGATGGAACTAGAGAAAATTATACTAAGCCAAATAAGCCCGGGGGCAAAAGACAAATACCATATGACCTCTCCTGCAAGCAGAACCTACCCAACAAAACAAAGATGCAAGGAAAATAAGACCAGCAGCACTGAAAGAAAAAAAGAAACCAACAGAGACAAGAGGGAAGGAGGGAGACGTGGGCAAGGGAAAAGGAAGGGAAGGAGCAAGTCAAGGAACATACAGCAAGGACTCATGGACAAAGCCAAAGAGGGGAAGCATTGGGGGAGGGAGAGGGAAGAGGGGAACAGGGAAATGTTCTGGGGAAAAGGTGGAGAGAAATGTCTCAGAAAAAAATTAATTAATTTAGAAAATATAAACATTTCTCTCAAATGGCCTATAACAAAGTGTCATTAATATAGACACTCGCAGTTCTTTACTTTGATTTAGAAACATGCACAGGTCCACATTGCAATACAGTGAATCTTTGCTAGGAACACCAACCTGTAACATTCACATGCATAAGGTATTTAATTGAATCTATGCATTTCATGGAGGACTCAGAATATTCTCTGCAATGAATTTCCATTTTTCCAAACTAACATAATGTTTCCAAAATCACTCTTTTATTACATCCACTTGTGTTTGACTTTACAGCATGTTGTTGGAGTCAATTAGGGTTTCTGTAAAGGAGAGGAAAGAAAATGAAGCTTTTGTCTAAAGCCTCATAGAAAAGTGACTAGAGCTCCACAGGTTACAAAGAATGCTGGCCATTTCATCACATGAACGTGTGGGCTACTGGGTATTTTTAGTCTCACAAAAAACAGTGCTCAAACACACACACAGACACACACACAGTTACGTCATCACTACAGAAGTATTGGGTTTTCTTTCACTTATGAATTTCTATCTCTGTCTTTGCCGACTAGCACCATTGTCACAATGGAATGCATTGCTCCTGTCCTGCTCACCTTCAAGGTTATAATTGACTCAGCAGGACAAGGACAATTTCACAGTCTTGGGCTGTATCTATGGCATGGGCACCTCCCAGAGACCTCTGAGAGCTCAGCCTCCCCCGCCTTCACTGAATGTCAGTGATATGGCCTCCATTACTGTCACCACCATTTTCCCTCACTCACAACTGCACGTCTACTTATTTTCATTAGAGTGGCTCTCAGAGGCATGTCAAGAGCTGAACTCTCTGCTTCTCTGTCGACATGGATGGGTCTGTGGAGTTCTCATCAGCTTTACTGTTTTACATGAAGATGAGAGATGCGTGAAAGAGAAAGAGAAAGTTCCAGAGAAAGTTCCAGAGAAAAGGGAGGTGTCTCAGAGTGGCTGTGTCTTGAGGGGATGTGAACTATGTCCCTGTGTGCCTGAGCAAATAGCACCTCAGCTTGGTCCCTCACAGTCCTGAGGCTGAAACAACAGAAGAACACTGATAGAAGTAACCAATAATAATAACAACTCATAATTGAGGTAATATAAGTAATTACTGAGAGTGATGACTTTGCCTGTGACACGGAACTAACTACCAAAACCGTGAAGAAATGACACAGTGATTACACTCACCCAAGGCATTATCATCTCTGGAGTCTCTCTGGACACATATTTTGAGTGGGGACATAAATGTATTTATCATTGGTACCAAGACATGGGTTCTCAGATGGCAAATAAGCACACATTCCTGCATGAATGAAACCACATAGATTGTTCTTTGTACTTGTGTCATGGTCAGATTGCATGCAGAAAAAGCTCATTTACGAAAAGATCTAATATCTCCTTGGGGTCAGGGTATGATGGTTGCTTCAAAGTTTAAACTGCAAGTGCACCTCAGAAAATCAAAATGTAAAGAAATGCCAAAGCCACATTTCCAGAATGATATTGTGACAATGATGAGCAAGTTTGCTTAATTTTAAAGATATTCATTATACTAGCATCTTCCAAATTGACTCTGTTTTAAAGACTAATATCTTGATTTCCTCAAGAGAAAGTAGCCTGATTCAGACGTGTCCTCTCAGTTAGGCAAGCACACTCTAACCAGCTTTCCACATGTTTCTAGTGATGTAATACACATAACAAAGTGTTTGGGAAGCACTCACAGGACCCTCGAAAACTTTGCTTAAATGATCCAATATGGAGTACACTGAGGCAGCCCCTCACCTATGCCTGAGCCTGAGCATGACCTATGACAAGATCTTAGCCCCCAGGACCTTGGCATTCACATACCTGAGCTGATGACTCCCAAATCACATATACAGATCTTTAGGTCATTCTCCAGGGCACATGGAGCCAATTCTTTGACATCCAGCAAGTAATGTCCTTGAAAATTGTCTAATGAAAAGCCAGAGATAGGCTTTTCTTACGAGAATGTGGCATATCGAATCTGGATCGTGCTGTCCAAGTCCCACAAGCCAGATCCAAGCAGCTCTGGAGACCCAGGAGGAACAGGTTTAGTACAAGTAATGAAAAAGAGGAATGTGGCCAACATCAGGAAGCCCAACAGGATGCATCGCTGTGCACCAGGATGTTTATGTCCAGTGATGCAAGCAGATCTCTTACGATCAATGATAGGCAGATTCATCCCTGGAACCCCACAGGCAAACAGTATATAAAGGGGCAAAGGTACTGCATATCACCAACAGATAGCACGCTCCAAATACCTCTGGCAGAGGAATCAACCAGAAGCCAAGGATGAAGGCCCTGCTGCTGACTCTTCTACTGGGTCTGGTTTGCGCTGATCTGTCCACAACAGACCTCTCACAGGTACCTTGGACAAAGGCTAATGCGTGTGTGTGTCCGTGTGCCTGCCCTTTTTGTACTCAGTATATGTGTGTCCAATTCATGGGCACCTAACTGGCCATCTACCTTGGACACTGATTGACATCTTAATGACTTCATATTGAACACTTATTATACTGGTATTGTCTCCGCATTGCTGGTAGAGCCAACAAAGTGACTAGTTATACATTGCAATGGTGGATTTAAAACAGAACTGAACAGTTCTGTTTAGAGCAACAGTTTGGATAAAAAATTGTTGGGTGCAGCTCCTGCATTCGGCAACAGAGCTTAATCTATTTCAGGAATATCACAGGTCCAGAGTGGATGCTACATTCTGATTCGAAGTTATGTTGAAAATCCTGCCTCCTTTGGTAGAAAGGGTGGTATTCTCGTGGTGAATGAGAGATGAGAAACTCTTGAAAAGTGAAGTCAGACAAAGCCCTTAAGTATCGTTTGACAACAATTTATAATGAAATTTTACTTTTAGATCTCAGGAGAATGGAAGACCCTTTATATAGCCACCAATACTCCACAGAAAACAACTAAGATTGGCCCATTCGGGCATACTGCTCATATAATTAATAATGACGCAGGAAATGGCGATATGACTTATCATATTTTTTCCAGGTAAGTAACAATGGCAGAGGAAAAAAAGAGTGAACCCTCTGCCTAATGGGCAAGAGTGGGACTGAGTTTTGTGATTACCAGGGACTTTGGAGATGTTCACTCAGGACTACACTCAGGTGTACAAAAATTCTCTAGAGATGATCCTAACAGCATTTGCTTGGACAAAAAATAGCAACAGAAGCACCAACAGGAATCATCTCCTTAAAGAAAGAGAACCAAATGAGCCCTAAGTTGCTATAGATGTCTCCATCCCCGCACTGCCTGAAATGAGCCTGCAGGGCCCATGTGGTAATGGCAGAGGATGGTCCATGTAAAGGGAGCTGTCGTCCACAAGAGTGCTGGCAGGTAGATAACAAATGATCTCTACCCTGAAGAAGGAATATCAACATCTATTGAATGACTCAGTTCATTCACCTTTCCTGCTTTGAGAGTTATTTATGAATGTTACAGAGAATTGTACATATGTGGTTAAGAAAAAGAATAAGAGAAAGAAAGGTTACCTTTTCACCTTCAATATTCAAATAGTACTAATGCAACCCATGTGGAACCCGGTAACAACCGCAAGGGTGACACTTTTTAATAATGGTGTAGATGATGTAAAGTCACCATCCTGAAATGGAGAATGAAGATGCGGCAGGGGTGAGGGGACAGGTTGAGGATGAACTTGAAGGTGGGATGGGCAGGTCAGAGAAAGAAGGAGGAGTAGCGACAAATGCGCTTCGATCACCGGCATTCACTAATGTAAATCATGTTTTGGGAAAGAAAGAGCAGGGCCAGGGGTCTGCGGATCGAATGTGTGAAGGGACTTGTGCACACAGGTGAAGCAGGAGGAAATGTACTTATTCATCACCGATCTTGTAGGTCTAAGCATTAACTGTGAGTGTCCCTTACACATTAAGGATGTCTCCTGAAATTACGGAAGCCGGCAGATTCTTCTTTCTGATTACGCTTTCCATGAAATCATGATAAATCAAACACACTAAGATTGGATTCTAAAGTTTTTCTATGCATTTTCAACTTAATGATGTGGGTCACTCAGGAGGGATGCCATGAAAGCCAATAACAAAATTTTAGGAATTTACTCCTCTCTCACTTTCTGTCACTCTGCTCTGTCTCTATCTTCCCTCATGCTCTGTAACACACAAACACACACACAAACACACAGCAACATATTTGCTAAATTGGTAATACCTGTATTCACATATGCTGCTTATTTTGTGAGAAAGAACAATTCTTGACACACCAAAAGTTAGGTTAAAGAGGCAGAATCCTAAGTAAATCAAAAGAAGAATTCGTTGCCAGAAAAGAAATGCTGGGTGTCCAAAAACATCAGCTTGTGCTGAGAGAAACTGGGCTTTCCCCAGAGATTAAATATTTGCATTTTTAATGCTGACTGCATTATTAATTGTATGTGTTACAGTTCTTCTGAGTACCTACCTGCATTGGAAGGCATGGTTAACTTTACATTTGAAAAAAGAATTTCTTTCCACATTGGACGTCCACCGGAAATATGCTGGTGGCCACAATTGGAAGAAAGAGATTTGAATGAGTCTAGAAGAGACCTGACAAATGATAGTTGTGAGTAAAGGCATGGAAATAAGGAGAGGGCCATGAATGTGTTAGTAATTGGGAAGGACTTATCACTGAATTGGAGGGTAAAATTTTGGTGGACACAGAGTCAGGAACACATTAAAAAAGCAGGAATATAAGAAACTAAATGCAATTTATGTCTGAAGACATAATTTCCACAAATGGAGTACAAGAGAACTCGAGGAGGTGTCAAGTGTGTCCTGCGAGGTACGTGCCGACCCTTTGGGGGTACTCTGACATTTCCAGTGTAGACAATGGCCTCTTTGCCTCTTGATCATCATTTCATGTTGGATGACAGTTTCCATCTGTTTTCAACGTTATATTGACCAGAGGCCATTAAGGATATCGGACACAAGTCGTGTGAGTGGGATACTGTGAAAATCCCTTTAAGACAGGAAGTTTTTATCATTTTCAATCTCCCAACCTGAGGATGTTTCCCTTTGTAGGTCGAATGGAAAATGTCTGAACAATATGCCCATGGGAAATGGGTCGAAGGCAATGTTTGCATCTTAAAATGTAAGTACAGATTCCTTATGGCTATAAGAACTTTAGGATTGAAATGTTGCTCTCAGTGCTTTCCAATTCTTTCACAAATCCTCAGACAAGATCTAGCAAGAATAGGGATCCTTTGCTTATCCTGTATTCTAATTTCATCACGCACAAAGATTCACATGATATTGCTTTGAATAATGTCAGTGCAGGTCCCTTTCCATTTTGATTCCAATGCAGGAGGTTAGTAAGATCGATTCAGAAGGACTTTATTACATGAAGCTCTCAGGTTCATTTGAATGCTTCATGAGCACTTCAAGGGACCTCAGACAACCAAGCTCCATAGGCTCTTGTGAAGTGTATCTATTGGCGTCATTTTCAATTAAAAGGATCCACTTTTGATTGTCTTAAAAACACCTTACTTCTTTCAACATATGTTTAATTTAGTTAAACCTGAAACAAGTTCTAGTGAATTGAAAAATGAAACAGGCATCTTCCTTTACTGAAGTGTTTATTCTAAGCACATGGACATGTTTATTCAAATATTTTTCTCCAAAAAATTTCTTAATGCCAAAACATTGCAATTTGACAGAGACTCAAAGACACTTAGGAAATGTGCGCAATACCACAATTTTACCAATATTACATGATGTCCTTGCCAAGGAAAAATCAATCCTCCTTCTGGGATAGGAGAAATGAATGGACTGATTAACTCTACTATGGGATAATATGGTTTCAACCACAGCATCATGGTATTTAAGTAATATGTTAGCTTCTTCTAAAACCCCATTTTAAAGTTCTTTGTAGTAAGACTGGAAAATGTGAAATATTATAAAGTGTAAAAAGACATACTCAAAGAAAGTTTGTTCCTAGTCTTTCGAGCTCTCCATCAACCTCTCTATTCTCTCTCACAGACAGATGAGTGTACAACCCTTTCTGTATTTACTGATGTATCAGAAGATTTCCTGGTGGGGTATATCGTGAACGTGGATGACAATGGTCTCCACCGTAACTTTCATGTTCAGTAAGTATGATCTCCTTTCTCATGGTCATTTCACACAATTATTGTTGTTATGTATACTCACAGAATCTATGTTCACTGCTGATATTCATTATTGATACGAGGATATTTCCAGCATCTCATTAAGGTACATTGGATCCAATCTACAAAGAGCCTGAGAAGAGAAGCTGGTACTGGCAGGGGTTTCATATATCAAACACTTGGAAATACTGCCTGCAGCTTAAAAGTATACCAATATAGAGTTTTAAAAATACTCTTTCTAAAAAGGTGAACAAATTATGAGCCCTGGCTCTCTTGAAGTTGATCCCAAATCCCACCATATTTCAATACTTTTTGGAATATGTTCTCTGCCTTGTCCTAGCATGTTTGTTAAACCTGCATCATGCGTACACTTCCAGGCATCCGTCTTGTGAAGGTTGGGATTCTCTACCCCTGAGAAATGACCACGTGGCACTGAGATGGGTGCATGTGTCATGCTGCCAATGGGCTCTTGTTTGCATAAATTATGGGGTGAAAAGTGATCTCACAAGAGTCCACCTAGACCTGCTCCACCATGAGGACAGGGCTGGTTCTCTGGAAGATCGAGACCATGTTCCTAGTGGGTTTGAGGAGAAGAAAGCAGCGATGTCAGATATTCCAGGAAGCAGGTAGACGTTCTAGGTGAAGTGGCCTCAAACTTCTGGCACCCATGGTTGTCTCTGGAGTCCACAGCTGGGGCAGGAGTGAACATTGTGATGCAGAACGCCTGGGCTGGGTTCTGAATCTGCACTTCATGAGGCAGCTGACTTTGGAATGAGTGACACCTGACCTCTGGAACTTTAACATTTTATCACTTGAAGGTGTGACTTCTACTTCTTTATTGTCATGTGTGTATCCACAAGTTCTTTGGCATCTAAGGAACTTATTTCTTCCCCCATGTGGTCATTTCCAGGCAAATCAAACCATGCGAATGAGCAAGATTTCGAGAAGTTCAAGGAGCTGACTCAGAAAATGGATATTCCAGAAGGAAATATTTTAGACTTTACCAATATAGGTAATGAGACTACATTATTTCCTGAGTATCTCATTTAACTGGAATGGAAATATTCCCTTAGGAAACAAATTGATGTCTCTTAAATTTACTCTTCCATCAATCACAAATTATAATATCAGTCCTCTCAATAAAATGAATTACAAGTCCTGGGAAACATTGGGAAATGGTACTGGCTGGCGACTCTTTGAATTCCTGTTCTTTTTCTTTGGTCCATAGAAGACTGTCCTAAAAATTAATGAAAGCAGAGTCATTGATTCTCACGGGCAGTAAGTACCAATGAGCAGTTCTTAAGCCCTTATCTCAAAAACTTTACAAGTATACCTTAGATTATATGTCCGCTCTGTGTGGTGGGGAACTACGTTTTGTCCAAACAAGGAAATTCTCTCACTACAGGACTTGTCCCTGCGATATCACATATTTTGTTTCTTCTCAGTCCCTTTAAATAGCTAAAGGGCAATTGGTGTAATACTGACAGAGTTCTGTTGACACAGAAGGGTCACACAGAAAACTTGATCTTGGGGAAAATCAGGAACTGCCAGAACTTGGTAGTGAAGATGGAAAACCTTGAGTCTTCAACTCCATCTCTTCTCCTTGGTTTGTACATGTAGTTCAGTCTTCCACAGAAATTTGGGTGAAACTGTACCCCGTCTGCTGCAAACACACAGTCTCCTTCGACGTAATCCTGATGGCCACGGGGAGATTTTCCAGCCACACTCTCTGACACGTGTGCTTCTGCAAGTGATTTGTTTAACCTGCGGATGTTACACACTTCCTAATGTGACCTAGATTCTGAGTAGACACATGTCCTGGCAATTTTGTTTGGTTCTTTTTTAAACTTCGGGGATGAACAGAATGCTTAAAAGCCACAAAAACTATAGGAAGTAGAGGACATAAATATAAGTCATTCACAGTTTCTGCTAATATCTTCTAGAAACCCCATCCCCATGAAATCTCTCCTGAGATCGTGAGTTCAGGAGTAGGAAGTCCCCACCAAGGGCACATCCTGGGGACATTCTGAGGGCACCTTCCCACATCAGAGAAGAGGAGAAGACCCTGTCACCTGGAACTTGACCAAGGGATTCACTATGGTCATTTACAGCCCTTCACACCCCATCTCCTGCACTCTCCACAATCAAAGTTTCACCCTGTCCGGTCAACTAACCTACGGTACTGCTTTCCTCTCCCATAGAATATGTCCTGAGAATGGGGCACATCTTCTCCGTGGGACCTGATCAAATGTGGGAAGGATTCTTGTTCCTGCCCAGCATGTCTGTCTCTCTTCATGAGCTCACTCGCTTCCCTCCCTGCCAGTCACCCCTCAGAGCCTGTGTGGAGTTCCTGGACATCTTCGTGTTCCAATAAACTGATTTCAGAATAAGTCTGTCCTCATGTGACTTTGCAGCCTTCTACATAACTTAAATACACACAAATATCCTTTTGAATTGCCTCTGTACAAAACATGTCTTCAATAGTCTCAGGGCCACACAAGTGTTATTTGTGCAGAGGACTGAAAACAGGAGGGCAAGAGGTGAGATGCAGGACAAGGTGTATACCCGCTTCACCTCCAAAGGGGCTGTGCTCACATTCACTGCTGTTAGCGAGAACTTCTGATAGGGAAAATGCTACTAGATAGTCAATTCTTTGAAAACACTTCAATAACACACCACCTGTATATGCACCCAAGAGTGTAAAATATTTATAAGGAGAAATGACCTCTTAGAAGAAGTCAAGTTGAGAACTTTTAACAAGGACAAAGTAAGTGATCTTTGAAAACACTTTGTGTGCTCTCTTCTCCTCTTCCCTTTGGTTCGAATCAAAATATATATCTCTTGAGCCCTTCCAACAATTGTCATTCTTTCCACAAAACCCAAGTCCAGGCATGAGCCATGACCAAATATTTGCCCCTAGAACCTTGGCATTCACATCTCTGTGCTGGTGACTGGCAAATCACACACTGTAGGTCTTTCTGTCCTTCTCCAGGGCACAGGGAGGAGCTTCTTTGACATCAAGCAGGTAATTTCCTTGAAACTTGTCTAATGAAAGGTCAAGGACAGGTGTTTTTTTACTAGAATGTGGGATAGCCAAGCTGGATCGTGCTGTCAAAGTCCCGCAGCCAGATCCAAGCAGCTCTGGAGGCCCAGGAGGGAAGGGTTTAGTATGAGTAAACGAAAAGGGGGAATGTGGCCAACATCTGGGTGACCTTCAAGATGCATCGCCCTGAACCAGGCTGTTTATTTTCAATGATGAAACGGATCTCTTACTGTCAATGATAGGCAGTTTCACCACTGGCACCCCGCAGGCAACCAGTGCATAAAGGGACAAAGATACTGCATATCACCAACAAATAGCACACCCCAAATACCTCTGCAGAAGAACCAACCAGAAGCCAAGGATGAAGGCCCTGCAGCTGACCCTTCTACTGGGCCTGGTTTGCGCTGATCTGTCCACAACAGACCTCTCACAGGTACCCTGGACAAAGGCTATTGCGTGTGTGTGTCTGTGTGCCTACCCTTTTTATACTTGTTATATGTGTGTCCAATTTATGTGCACCTAAAGCTGGCCATCTACCTCGGGTGCAGATTCACTTCATAATCACTTCCTTCGGGACACTTGCTCTACCAGTATTGTCTCTGCATTGTTGGTAGAGCTGAAAAAAGTGACTAGTTATGCATTACATTGGTAGTTCTAAAACAGAACTAAACAGTTCTGTTTAGCCCAACAGTTCAGATACAGAATTGTTGGGTGGAGCTCTTGCATTTGGTAACAGAGCTTAATCTATTTCTAGAATATCTCCGTTTCCCACTGGGATGCTCCATTCTCTTGTGATGTTATTTTAACCATCCTGCCTCCTCTGGGAGAGATAGATGGTTTTGTCACGGTGAACAAGGAATGAGAAGCACTTGATGAAGGAGGTCACAGAAAACTTTTCAATATCATTTGACTACAGTTTCTGACCGGACTCTGCTCTTAGTTCTCAGCTGAATGGAAGACCCTTTACGTGGCCTCCGAAAATCCGATGATGATAAGAGAAGGTGGCCCATTCAGTGGTTTTCTCCGGAAAATTAAGTTTGACTCAGTAAATGGAGATGCATCTTCTCATGTTTATTTCAGGTAAGTAACAATGGCACAGGACAAAAAGAGTAAACGCTCTACCTAACGGGTAAGAGTGGGATTGTGTTTTGTAATTACCAGGGACTTTGGAGACAGCTACTCAGGTCTACGCTCAGCTCGACAATAACTCCATAGACAGTATCATGCAGAATTTGCTTAGAAAATAAATACCACGGAAGCACCAACAGGAATCAACTCATTAAAGAAAGAGATGAAAATCAGCTGCAAGTTCAACTTGGATTTAAACTTGGGCTTAAATCCAACGCCACCAAGTTTAAACAGTTTTTGGAATATGTTCTCAGCCTGTGCGTGGCAGCTGTGCTAACAAACTTGGGTTAAACATGAATAAAGACTTGGAAATAAGGAGACAGCCATGATTGTGTTAGGCATTGAGATGGAATTATCACTGAATGGAAGGGGAAAATTTTGGTGGACGCAGAGTTAAGAACGCATTAAAAAACCATAAGTATATGAAAATAAGTGCAGTTTATCTCTAAAACCATAATTTCGCCAAGTGGGGTAAAAGAGAAATCGAGTAGGTTGGTAATATGTGTTGGTTGGGTTGGGACATGCCATCCCTTAGGAGTACTCTGATGTTTCCAGTGTAGGCAGTGGCTTACTTTCCTCTCGACTGTAATTTCATCTTGGATGGTAATTTCCTCTCCTTTCGACATCATATTGACCAAAGGCCCTCAAGGGTATCTGACACAAGGTCGTGTGAGGGTCATACAGTGAAAATCCTGTTTAGACAGGAAGTTTTCATCATTCTCAATCTCCCAACTTGAGGATGTTTTCCTTTCCAGGCTGAATGGAGAATGCGCGGCAATATTTACCAAAGGGACAAGGATCGAAGGCCATGTTTTCCTCCTCAGATGTAAGTACACTTTCCAATGGCTACAAAAAAATTAAGCTTGAAATATTCCTCTCTGTTTTTTCCAGTACCTTCACAATCCCCATTCAAGATCTAGCAATAATCAGGATCCTTTGGTTATCCCCTATTTAAATGTCATCCCGCACAGGGGTTTACATGAAGCTGCCTAGAGGTCCCTTCCAATTTTCACTCCTCTGCAGTACTTAAGATCACCTTCTGAAAACATTTATTACAAAGGCCCTGAGGTTCCTTCCAATGCTTCCTGAGTACTCCAAAGCGCCTCAGGCAATCAACCCCAATAGGCTATTGTGAAATGGACCTATTGGTGTCAGCTTGAAATAAAAGAGTACTCTTTTCATCATCCTAAAACACTTTAATCCTTTCAAAATAAACAAGATGGAGTTAACACTTAAACAAGTCCTTGTAATTTGACACACCAAACACATCTTTCCCTAACAAAACTGTTTGTTCTGAGCACATGGGCAGGTTTCTTTGTATCTCTCTCTCTTAAATTTTTTCCGGTCATCTTGAAGGACATTCCAAATTTTCAGTGGCCCAGTGACATTGAGCGTATGTGCACAGTTGCACCATTTTACCAATGTTACATTCTTTCCCATGCCAAGGAAAAATCTATCTTATTTCTCCGATAGGAGAAATACAAGTAGTTTTTAACTCATCGTTTTGACAATATGGTTATAACAGGCTCATGTTTTTTTCAGGAATACATTAGCTTCTTCTGAAACCCAGGTTAAAATACTTTTTCAGTAAGAATGGAAAATATGAAATGTTATAAGGTGGAGAAAGACACAGTGGAAGAAACTTTCTTTCTACTCTCTCTACACCCCATACACCTATCTATTCTCTGTCTCACCCAGAGGCAAGAACAACTATTTCCCAACTAATTTGTGCATCAGAAACATCACTGGTGGGGTATTTCATCAACGTGGATGAGAATAATGAGGTCTCCGCAATAACCATGATGTTCGTTAAGTATGATCTCCTTTCTCATGGTCATTTACCATAATTATTGTTGGTATGTGTACTCACAGAATCTCTTCGCGCTGGCCTCATTCAGTATTGATGCAAGGATTTTTCATCATCTAATTAAGGGACATGGAATCCAATCTACAAAGATGCTGCATAGAGGAGCTGGTACAGGCGGCACTTTAAAATCTTGGGCACTTGGAAATATTGCCTGCAGCTTAAAATTGTATGACTATTGAGTTTTATAAGTCACTCTTTCTTATTAGGTCAACAGATTTTGAGCCCTGGTTCTGTCAAGTTC